TGTTTTCTCAAATTTAATGTTAGGAAATAAAATGTTAGAGACTTGTATGTGTATTTTTAGATCCGATCTTCAATAAGTGATGTTGTATTAGGATTGTTTTGCAGTTTACTAATAGTTTTGTTCGTCGAAACCCCTTGTATTACGATTAGACATAATTTAGACAATTATTTTCAGGTAAGTTTTATTTGAAATATTTAAAAAAAAGTCGGAAATCGTATATTAATTTAAAACAAATTTACGTACATTTTTTAGAATGTATAAAAATAGAATATTTCCCGCTCGCAGGAAAACGATACCAAAATAAAACACAATATGTATCAAGTTTAGGTGGTCAAGTACACTTTTTTTTAAAGTGAAGATACAAACAGTACACCGTATAAACTCAAATGTAAAATTATTAGACACTATCTGCTTTTTATGTCGAAAAACTGACAAAATAAAATATGTAATTACAGACACTTACATCTTTTTTATTTATAGCTCTAGTTTTTTTCAAGGGAAATGAAGTTCTTCTAACCTGTCTCCCTCTCTCTTCCATAGTATCAAACCTTGAATTTTCTTCAAGTTTTTCTAAATTTATCACACAATGGAAATTTTAAACATTATATATCATAAACATGTTTTACAGAATGTAAAAAAACAGAATATTTCCAAATCACAGAAAACGATAATAAATAGCAATAAAATAAATATCAATTTCCAGTAGTGAAGTACACTTTTTAGCGAAGAAAAAATATAAATGAGGGCAGAACATCGTAGTAATTTTAATAAATTAATATTTGACTGCCTGGTTTTTTCCCTGTCGGAGCACTCGCTGTAATGCAATATACTGTATTTGGTTTGGACTTACTGTTTTAAATTTTCTATCCAAATATTTGCATCGAATTTTAATTATAGGTAACCTCTACGTGTCCTTAAGATAATTTATGAGTTTAAGAAAATTATTGGCTGTTATAAGTAATAATTAATTAAGTTCTGTTAGAGGTATTACCATTTAATGATGCTCTTCAAGTTGAATGCTTTAATACTTGTTAAATACTTCATTAACTTCAAAAATATTTATCCGAAAATGGTTATCGACCACTGAAAATTCTGAGTACATTATTCCCTATATAAAAAAAGTTAATAAAATGTATGCGTTACCATTGAAGTTTCAAAAGTTGCCATCAGAAAAACTAAGTTGGGAAAGTGATCACATTGTATAAAAACATTATGGTAAAAAATAATGTAATTATTAACTAAACCCAGTGATTGAGTGGTTCACGATAAGTTCACCCTGTGTAATATAAAAAAAATAGTGTTGTATATTTATATAGTACTCACTACTCATATAATATAACATTTTATGTGGTCTTTATACAACACTTTAAGTTCCTTAACCCAAAACAGCTTTCAAAATCTAAATTTTATGATTTTTCATGTTTTTTATTCATAAAAAAAAAAGTTGAGTATAGATTTTTTTTTACAAGTTATTGATACACAGAAGATTTATCTTCAGTCTATATTTCCGCTCTCAAGTCTTAAAATTGCCGGGGAGCAGGGAATGGAACAAAATTTGGACAACTATGTTCCCACGTGTTATTTACTTCAATTTAAAAATAGGTAAAAATTAATAAAGCAACGATAAAAATTATGAGCAATTAACTAACAAAGGTTTTAAAATTCTATTTAAACGATTCTAAATTATTATTTTTTTTTTTATCAGGTTTATATTAATTAGTTGTTGGCCAATATATGTTTTATGTCACAACGGCGATATTAGAATATCAATATTGTGAAAAAAATGTTCCAAATCGTATAAATATAATAATCTATTTATTTTAAAGTTTTGTTAAGTAAAATAATATTATAAAGATTGCGAACATCTTGGCAAATTCGGCGACTGTACCACACTACTAAGTTTTCCAAAAGAATTGTTTGGAAATAAAAATGGCAAAGATGACTAAATAATAAATGTATGTATTATGTAATTTATTATTTTTGTAAAACGTATTATATAACCGGGCACCGATTTTTTTTTTTTTAATTTAGGTGTATTAAATAAAATTTGTCGCACTTGTGCTTCTTAACCAGAGCGAGACCGGAAACACAGGCAGCTAGTTTTAAAAAAGAACAATAATAATAAGATCCCACATTTTAATAATTTGACGGTAAGTGGATGTTTGTTTTTTTATAATAAAGTCTTGACAACTGGTTCATTAGCTAAACTATAGTTATTTTTTAAGTGTATTAGTCTGAAGGTACTTTAGTAGAATTTCAGAAAACCTTGAATTTTTATCAAGTTTTACTAGCTTTATCACACAGTGGAATTTTTATACTGTTTTCAAAATTATTAAAATTAGTTCCACATTTTGATTCCACTTTTTTGAAAGTTCTTTTGGGACTTGAAACTTAGTAAATTTCACACACAGTTATCTCGAACATTAACCATGTTCGAGAACCATCTAAAATAATTGAAAAAAAAAAAACTCTTCCATGCATATTTATATATGGTAGAAATGTTAAATACCAATGAAGATCATAGTAAATTTAATAATACTGTTAAAATTGTGATTTCAGTATTAGATCTGATATATTACTATACTTTTGGGTTCATCGTCTGTCTGTAATAACAAACAAATAAACGACATAAAAAAATGTATGTCTGTTACCTGTTGACTATATTAATTTATTAACTCGTAGCAAGTTATACATTAAATAAGTTCAATGTGAAAATGTTCACACATATTTGGTTTTTAATTAATAAAAACAAAATGTTAACTATAAATTTTCGAGAAAACTGTGTATGTTATTTACTTATTTCCAAGTCCCAAAATTACTTTCAAAAAAGTGGAATCAAAATGTGGAACTAATTTTAAAACTTTTTAAAATAGTCACCCCTTAAATTTAAGGTACGACTGGGATGACCTTTTTGATTTTAGTGTAAAATCAATACCTTCTGTAATGAATATAGTGTATAACGCGATAGATATCTATCCTAAGGAAACCTAACCTAACCTAACCTTAAAGATTACCTATTTCCTTCAGTTGTACTGACATAGGCGGACTTAGGGGTGGGCTAAAAGGGCATTAGGCCCCCCAATTTGTGATTTAGCCCCCCCAAACCCAATTGGCTTTTTTTATTTCAGTAAAATTCTTATTTAATTTTCTATTACCTAAAAATGTATAAAAACCGTATTTTTTTTCAAATGTGCCTTTTTTATAATATATAATTCAATACTTAGGTTTTTTAGACTAGTTGGATAACGTATGATTGTGGTTAAGGTGTCATTTTACACAAGGCAACTTCTGATGCTTTATATTATTCTGGCGGCGACCGCCAACCGTCTGGCGGCAAGACCTGTTGGGAAGGTGTGGTGAAGGGTTGTTATTGTCATTTTAGACTACTTTTCACAGCTAAATATAAACAAATACAAAATATAAACATTGTATATACAGGGTGATCCAACTAACGTAAGACACTCATTTTCTCGGAAAATATAAATATTTTGAGAATTTTTTTTTTTCTAAACTTTTAGGTACATATTTTACTACATTTTTCAATATTTAGAATATTTTTATCTTCAACCCTTATATGTAAAACAAGTATCGCATTTGGTTTTTTAAATGGGAACGTATGTTTTTAATTTCATAAATCTGTAGACAACATTTTTAAAAAAGTTTTAGCGTTTGAATTTCTAATTTTCATCAATCGGTTTTGTAGTTATTACGTTGTAAAGATTTGAAATTTTGATCCATATTTCTTTGGGATTTCAAAACAGGTAGCATATTAAATACTATTAAATAATATTATCGACCTCGCCCCGTCGTCCGTCGATAAAACCGATAATCAGATAATAGTAATACTCCTTACTTTTTTTTTTTATAATATATGGAGATGCGGTTCTTTACCTACTGTCAGAAACCGCGATACCATATACATGTCTGGTCAATTGTTCACATATCTTATCAGTAGACAACACTTACGACGAAATTTTTTCCAACCTTACCTACCCATATTATCACGGTATGATTATGATATATTATCAAGCCCAAAAAAAGTGCGTGCAACCGGCTGCCGGCAACGTGACTTGCATTGTGTATTCAGAACCCGGAAACGTCCTATACTCCTATGCCGTTTTTTTTGTTAATACATTTAACTATTTAAGTAGAGTCAATTGTGTTTATATATTCTCTAATTGTGACTACATTTTATATTGCTCTACAATGTACGATGAAAACTAATAAACATAATGATTTCATAAGCAAAAACTTATTTCTACTAGTAATAGTAAACATTTTGTAAATATATTTTTGATATTTGACATATTATGGGAAGTAGGTTTATCAGTATCGAACACCGATTACACTATAGCGTAATAATAATAATAATAAAATATATTTCGTTTGTCAGATCTTTGTAGGACACCCTGTATATAATAAAATATTCTATTTAAAATTGTAATTATTACTAAAAGTATATTCTACAAAAAAATGAATATTGATAAAAAAAATATTTACATTAGTTTAATAATAATTAAAAGAGCACAAGTGAACAACAGTTGAATTTTCAAATCAATACAACTACTTTATTTTATTTTATGTACATTGACTGACTTGATTAAATCATCAAATGAAAAAGTTTGATTTATTGTTAACATGTTATAACCTATACGCATTTATTTGTCAATCATTAATATTTTGAAGAAAATATTTGGTATAAAATGTATGGATGATAGTCAAACACCAAGTTTAATTAATTTTATATTCCATAATCAAATATCCGTTATGCATTAGAAATGCAAAATATGGGTTAGATTACAAAATTTTAAATTAAATAAAATCTGACATTAGATCTACCATAAATAAAAATATTAACCAAATATGAATACATTTGCTTCATTGATAAAAAAAAATATTGCTACATTTTTTTTTAAAGATGATTTCATTCATGTAAGAAACTAGAAAACAAAAGCTACCACATAACATAAAATCTAACTTTTTTCATTTGTTAAGCCACATTAAAAAAATGAATAGTCAACTATAATTATAGAGTGACTTGACTAAAAGAAACTAATATTTTTAACATTAAATGGTACTAATAAAAATGCTTATACAAGTTATTATTCGAGACAAATAATTATGATGTTAAAATTTAACATCCTTATTGCAATCTCGAACGTTACACATCTTGAAAATATAATTGTTTTGTTATATTTTATATTAATATTTTTTTTTTTTTATAGCCTTTAAATATTTATAATGAGTTCTTTTTGGGCCACATAAAAATAATCGGCGGGCTGTATGCAGCCCAGGGGCCGCTGGTTGAGTATGGTTGTGTTAAATGCTAATATTTTATTCTTCTAAGATTCCAAGTAGAAAGCAATATTTTCTTCATCTGAAAAAAATAATTTAATAATTATTAACTTATATCTCCTAATTTCTATAAAATGCCTAATCTAAAACAATATTATTTTTATTTTGTACATTTTTGGGTTATATCTACAAAAGACGACTTCAAAATGAAGACGTTGACACAACTGAAAATATACAAAGTAACAATTTACTAATAGTAATAGTGTAATATCTATTATTCACAATATACAGTTTTTCAATACTAAAATATTGCACATCTAGACTCTAGTGCATATTGATATTCGAAACATACCTAACTAGTAACTGAATAATCATAAATGACATATTGATATGTAGCTTGATAAACCAATACTGACTATTGTAATCAGTGACAAATTGTACATTAAGGTTTCAACACATCATTATCTTTCCAGTAATCTTCTTAAAAAATGTCCTGCTAAAAAATACAAATTAAAATTTTATAAATTAAAATTTTAGTATTTAATATATTGTACTTACAGCTTTCCTGCGGTTAGTCATCAACATTTATTCCAGTTAAACTATAATTAACAACTGTTAATTGGCCATATAATAATATTATATTACGTATAGTATTAAATAAATCAGTAGGTATATTGTATAACTTGGTTGTTATGTTGAGTTTTCCAAGTCTTAAATACAAATTTCACTATTACTAATGAGAACTAATTATATTTATGAAATCATTACATTCATTATAGTTTCAAAATAAATTGTAAAATGTATGTCACTAACCACAATTAGACATTTTAAAACACAATACTAGTTTCTTCTTTATATATAAAAAAAACTGTTCACAAATCACGAGTACACGTTGTTTGTCGTTTGACAATTTAAGTTTTACTCATACCATAGTATAATGATACTGTGATAATAATATTAACGCTATATTATAATCATACCGTAAAAGTGGTTTAAGGCAAAATCGTCCACATCGCAGTCTACTGATAATACATGTGAACGGATGACGGTTATGTAAGGTATATTTGTTTCCAAACAGGTAGATTAAGAATCGATTGTCCATATAATAATAAAAAAAAATTAGAGCCAGAGTTATTTATGTCTCATTATCGGTGACAGTATTATCGATGGGGTCCAATATTATCATTATTTACTGGCAAATAAAAGTGCTACTGCTGAAAAACCGAACAAATATTGATTTTAATTTCAAATCTTTACTAAGTCACAGAAAACGAACAGATAGTTGAAAATTGAAAATTCAAACGCTAACATTTTTTAAAAAAAATTGTCTACATACTTATGGAATTAAAAACATATGTTTCCATTTGAAAAAACGAGTTTCGTAGTTTTATAACGTATAAGGGTTGAAGATAAAAAAATTCTAAATATTAAAAAATGTAGTAAAATATGTACCTAAAAGTTTAGAAAAAAAAAAATTCTCAAAATATTCATATTTTCCGAGAAAATGAGTGTCTTACGTTAGTTGGATCACCCTGTATATTAATAATAAAGCAAACTTATCGCAGATATTATAAAAATAGTTGAAAACCCGTGATAAAATGAAATGGTTTTATTTTTTTTTCATGTTAAAACATTTTGGGGTATATCTCTTTTCTACAGGTTTATGCCATGCTAAAAAATATAACCAATTCATTGCCTATTTTACTGACAAATAGCGCAGATAGTGTTTTTAATACATCAAAAATATTTCGGTTTGTTTTGGCAAGTGGAACAAGTTATATTCGTAAGTTGAATTATAATTACTGTAGTTGTTTTAAACAAAACAATTTTACAGTAGGTATTATTTTAAAGGATAAATGTTGAAGATAACTTTTAAAAGTCAAATTTTAACCTAAATATTTAATTTGTTTATTAAGTATAGAACAATAATGTACCTAGTGAAAACTGAAAACTGGTTTGTTATGGAATAAATCATTTTTGTATAATACGCTTTTTAAATTATAGACGAAGTATGTGGATGGAAATAATAGTATTCTAGTCTTCTATCACCTCATCGAGAACATTAAACTAAATTTTATATTTAATTGGACATTTTTTAGCTAAAATAAATAGAAAAAAAGATGTATAGGCGTTAAAAGGCAAATTTTTGATTAAGCTATTAGAAAATTAATTCGATTTATAGTTAGAAAAAAAATTAAAAAACTAATTATAAACACTTCTACAGTAGAGGCTTTGAATCTTTGCCTGGGGGGGAGGGGGCAATATTTTTGTATATAAACATACTCAAACTATAAAAAAAGTTAGTCAGCAAGTGTAAAATATAAATTAACAGTATATTTATAGTTTATACTATATAGTAATAATTTTGTTATCAGTTGATAATCAATTCGATTATAATATTATACATGTTGCATCAATAAAAAAATATAACAAAATATTGCATATACATGCCCACACATGCTTAAAGCGAAAAATTTACGAAAAATAAAGATTTTGTAGGCTACATCAGTGTCTAAATATTGTCTGGGACTAAAGCCCCCCCAAAAATCAACCCCTAAGTCCGCCTATGGTTGTACATGTGGAATCTGATTTTGCATCATGTCATTCCAACGGAATTCCTTTAATAATTCCACTTGTATAATTTACTTGTGCTATAAGACCGTCAGACCTAACATGTGTATGATGTGTGTTTACGTAGAGGTGTTTATCACCGCACCTAACCTAACTTTAGGTTAGTACACCATATAAACTCAAATGTAAAATTATTAGACACTATCTGCTTTTTATGTCGAAAAACTAACAAAATAAAATATGTAATTACAGACACTTACATCTTTTTTATTTATAGCTCTAGTTTTTTTCAATTGAAATGAAGTTCTTCTAACCTGTCTCCCTCCCTCTTCCATAGTATCAAACCTTGCATTTTCTTCAAGTTTTTCTGAATTTATCACACAATGGAAATTGTATACTATTTTAAAGATTATTTATCATAAACATTATTAAGTTCCTAAAACCAAAACAGCTTGCAAAATCCAAATTTTATGATTTGTCATTTATAAAAAAAATGTTTTGTACAGATTTTGTTTTACAAGATATTGATACACAGAAGATTTATCTCTAGTCTAACTTTCCGCTCTTAAGACTTTTAAAAATGAACCTTTTTTTTAAATTTTTGGATTTTTTTTTGTTATTTAAATTGTTTTGAAAAAAATTTTTTTAAAAAAAGGATGTCTTTTTGTGTTGTTGACCCAAGGGTTACTTTACATTGAACGGGGCGTAGTGTAATCGAAGAGGTTACAGGCCTAGTTCTGCTAGAGGTATTACTATTTAATAATGCCGTGTCAGCTCATTTAAACAATGAGCCAATCTATTTGGAAAATCCCACTATATTAGCAATTATGTTCCCACGTGTTAATTATATATTCACAAATAAAAAAATTTGAAAAAGAAATACATACGATATTTTAATATTTTGTCAGTCTAGGCAACTAGTTGGTTGGTTAAACTATAGTTTTTTTTTAAATGTATTAGTCTGAAACCACATAAGTACAATTTCAGAGCCATACCATAATAGACTCGCCATAGATCAAAATCGTAAGTACTAAAAATTATTTTATTTTACAGAGTGTCCTACAAACATCTGACAAATGAAATAACTTTTGTTCTTGTGATTATTTTTAAAATTTGATTTTTAAACTGAATTTTAACTCATTTTTACTATAAACACCACAGGTTCTATTACTCTTAACCGTTTTTATTTTATTCAATTTAAGATGGTCGACAACTAGTTTTGAATAATTACTAAAAAAGTTATATTTACTTGTACTCTTTTGTAAAAAGTGCATAATTTTGATACAACTCAACTAATGATAAAAAAAATTAAATGTATATTATATAAAAATGAGTATATTGTTTCTCATTTTTGAAACATTTCTTATCATTCATGATATATATAGACAAATATTATCAAGCGCAATATTATGTAGTGATTTTAACGCCCTACACACGTTTTCTCTTAAAATAGTTGATATATTGTAGTTTTTATTATTGGAACCCTGTTTGTTTGTGTTATATAATAATATTCAAATTTGTGTCATTATTGGTATTTTATAAAACTTCACCATTTCTTGAAACATAATCGGTAATGTATATATTTAAATAATTTTTGAAATAATTTGCTGAAAATTTTGACAAATAAAATGAACCACTCTACCTCCTGTCCTAAATCTAAACCTAACCAGTTTTGAATAAATGTTTTAAAAGTTATTTAAGTTCAACATTTTGGGTGCAAAATTAAAAATGTACGTTCAATTTAAATTAGGCATCTTAGACTCAATCAATAGAATAAGATTTATTGCATACATTTATTTCTATATAAATATGTATATATTTACAGTATTGTTTTATTGCAGAAAATGCAGACCCGTTTGATTTTGTTATTTGTCATATGCTTCAATACATTAAATCATAGTTTCCAACTACCATCTGATCATTCCGAAAAAATAAATGCATACACAACACCGTCCACATTGAACGACAAAAACTATGAGAATGAATTGGGAAAAAAACTTTTCAACATCAAAAGCAATACCAATAGTACCATATGGATAGGTAATATGATTGCTATGCATATGGACGGATTTGCACCGTTTTCTTCTGACAATCCAAAGTGTACTGAGGATGGAAAACTGTACAAGGAACACTTGGTCAATCAAGATTTGTGGGCCGTTCAAAGTAAGTATTATCAGGTATAATAACCTTCGTACATAAAAAAAAATTAAGTCATTTAAAAATTTTTAGAATCCTTGATACACAGCACATCTACATTACTGTGATACCATTTTTTTTATTCGTTCTCTTAGAAGTTTCCTTTGTTTATTTTAGTTTATAACGATAATAATCATTAAAAGTTTATGAATTATTTCAGTGTATGATTCTTCAGCAAAATATCCCGGCGGCCTTTTGTCTGGCATTGCATACGAAATGGGATATTATGATCAGTGTCTGAGAGCGCATTCAGAAGATTTAAATATTTACAGTGCGTATGTTTTGCCAAACGTTCAGTTTCAAATTCCTGCAGCAAATGACTATACGTCAGTAGTAAGACACAACGAAAGATCAGCTTGGAGAAATTTGAAAGTTAGTAAACATTTTTAAACAATTTATATAAGAACAGGCCCAACTACTTAGTAGACTTTTAACGCTCATACATAAACTATTTATTGACTGCAGCTAATATTTTTGGATCCTATGTATTAAATTATTGCTTGTAATAATTGTTTGTTTTAGAACGATGACAATTATTCAAGCCATAGCAAAAAAATCGTTAACATAAATTGGGCATTATGTATCCCGGACTCTTGTAGCGCTAAAGACGTACAAGCATCAATGGAAGAATTGTTGAAGCCTATTTTTCAACAATCTCATATTACAATCAAGGTTTCTGTTCATCCAGCTCTATACACATCTAAAAGAACATCTGATGCAAAACCCACTGATGGATACCTTATTTTTTTTTAGTAAATTGCTTTGTTACAATATATACGACTATATATTAAATAAAAATTAATTACTTTAAACAATATTTAAAATATTATAATAATACCAATATGTTCTTTTTAGCATGGTTGTGATACTGATCTTAACGTTAAATATAGTTGGGAGTTTGTACGAAACGAATATTATTGGTGATCAGCATTTTCATTGTTCTATTTTAAGTATGTTCTATAGCAAATATGAATAATTCAGTTATTGTAATGACTGTTTTAATCATTTTTTTTTTTGTTTTTTTAGAAAATATTTTATTGGCTTTTTCTATTAGAACAAGCATGGCAAGAGTGTTTAAAACACAAAACAAAAATGAGTCGGCTTCAACTGATGCACTAAAATTAATTTTTGCGATTTTTATACCCATAACACATAGAATTTATTTGGGCCGATATGTTGCAACAACCACTCCTTATTATATGGAAAACGTAATTTAAATGTTTTGTTTTTGTAATACTCTTACAGCAAAGTAATATAATATTTTAACAATACATTCATGCAAATGTGTTGCCATATTCTTAGATTTCTTATTCATAATGTATGATTATGCGTCGATATTAAATTAACAATTAATAATGCAATTATTCTTGATATGTTTCAGATAATGAGTAATGTTTGGACAACATGGTTGAATTCACCGGTTTGTGTGGAAGTATTTTTTGTAATTTCAGGGTTTATGATGTATATGTCTGTGATCAACAGATTAAATAAAGAAAGAGAATTAAAATTTTTCAATCTACTATTTTATAGATTGACAAGGTAAGATCATTTTAAGGTTAGAATCAACGATCGTTAATGTTAAGTTACATAAGATGGTTTTTTTTTAATGGGTTTACCATTCAAAAGTTAAAACACAGCAAAATTTAAAAGGCTGTATAATGTTGTTGTATATAAAATTAAGTAATTTTATTTATTGTATCGTGATGATTTTACTACTGTTTATTAAATGTTATTTATTACACATTTTTCAGACTTCTGCCAGCATACGTAATAGTTTATTTGCTTTACATGTGTGTTTTACCTCACATAGCAGATGGTCCAGTTTGGAAGTTATATACAATTTCGGATACCGAATTTTGTCGTAGAAATTTGTGGAAAAAATGTTTATTTATCGATACATACATTGACGGCGTTGAAGAAATAGTAATGCCATTTATAGAATAAATCAAAAATAATTATTTGCTACACAAATTTTGGAAAATGTTGACACCACTTGTTGTCAACAAGCTGTGACCAAACGATTAAAAAACAAATCCATAATATTTATGTTCTTAATCAATGAAAACTATTTTTCTAGTGTATGGGTTTTTCCTGGTATGTAATATGCGAAATACATTTTTACGCAATCGGAATAATTCTAACGTACGCAATATGGAAATGGAAAAAATTAGGAATTTGGATTTTAGGAATATTATTTGCAGCATCAATTTACATGCCAGCAAGGACGATTTATGCCAACCATTTGTCGACTGTAGTATCAGCAAAGTACTAGAATTAATATATTAAGGCAGTGAACTAACAAGTTTAATTTACCATTACAAAGCCTGAACATAGAAGAGCTTTCTGTTTGATCTGACTTATAATCATACTTATTTATAGGATACAGTTTTATAGCAATAGAGGTTCAATAAATTATTTTGTTTCAGCACAAAGAATTTTCGATCTCAGCCATTTTTCTTATTTGTATACATGAAGAGTCACCAAAGAATTACAACATACCTGATCGGAATAGCAGCCGCACTCATACTCAGAAAACTAAAAGAAAATGGTTTCAAAATATCCGTTGTGAGTATGCAAATACACTGCATATTTATAAGTATATTTTATAATACATTTTAAAAATAAAACACTTTTATTTCTAGCAAAGCAAGACGTTTGGTTCCATAATTTCTCTTATAATATTGGTGTTAAGTTTATATTCATCGACTTACTTTTTTTCACCTGAAATAAAGTACAACCCGTGGCATCACGTTTTATACTTTACTCTACAAAGGATCGTAGTTGCAATTTGTGTATCATATTTCATGGTCGCTAATGGATTATCTAGTTCTGGTACACAATTTTTGTTTATGATTTCTAATAATAATTCAACAGTTATTAAAAAATATAATATTATACAATTACTGAAGAAACGTATTATGTTTCAAATTATAAGATTTGTTACAATGTTATTTAATAATGATACTGCGAATAGTTTTATAATCAACTACGAAACCAATACTTTGTAAAAGGCAAATAATCTAAAAAAATACAGGGAGAAAATGAAAATTTTTAATGGTATTTATAGACTTAGAAAAGGCATATGATAAAGTTCCCACTGAGGTTTTGAGGTAAACGTTATAAAAGATAGAAGTGCCGAGGTTGTATGTGAAAGTAATAGAGAAAATGTATGAAGGGGCAAGTTCACGAATAAAAATTGTGTGGGGATAAATTGAAAGTTTTAGTGTAAAAATAGGTGCATCAAGATTGATCGTTAAGTCATTACTTGTACTCTTTTGTAATAGTCAAGATTACAAAAGATATATAGGGAGAGGTGCCATGGTGAATGATATTTGTGGATGAAGTAGTGTTAGTGGGGAAAAGGCCAGAATAAAGCGGAGTAAGAGTGAAGAGAAGCGCTTGAAGTAAAAGAACTGAGTGAGAAGGAGTAAAAGTAGACAGTCGTATTTGATTTTGGAGAAAGGTATATGGCATGCCAGGTAATGCAGATGGGGGATGATAAAGTGTGTGAGGTTAATAGGTTTAAGTTTATAGGATCGGTCGTACAAAAAAAAAGATGGGAGGACGTGAAAATTGAATTAATTGTGGACGGATGGATGGAGGGGAGCATCGTGTGTTTTGTGTGACAGGAGGATGCCTATTTGTTTGAAGTGTAAATTGTATAGGTCGGTAGTGAGGCCAACAATGTTACATGGATGGAAATGTTGGGCAGTAGATAAGAAAACTGAACAGAGAATGAGTGTAGCGGAGATGAGAATTTTTAAATGTATAAGCTGAGTTACTAGAAAGGATAGAATAAGAAATTAATACATCAGGGGAAGTCTAAGAGTTGCATCAATTTAAAAATAAATTAGAGAGAATAGGTTGAGATGGCTCGGTCGTGTTATAAGAAGAGAAGAGGCAGTGGCAGTGTGAGGTTCTATGAAGATGAATGTAGAGAGAAAAATAGGAAAAGGCAGACAAAAGATAATATGGATGGATGGAATATTGAATAATAAGTGAATAGTTTGGGTGATTAAACGAGATGTAGAAGACCGAGCTCAATGGATGTGCAGGACTAGGGTGGCCGACCCCATGTAGTTGGGAGTGTAAGGCGAAGATAAAGAAGAAGATGAAGGTGTTGTCATCACCTAACCTAACTTAATAGTATGTACCATGGAAAAGTAACGTGGCAATTTTAGAAAGAGGATAACGAAGAAGAAGAATAGATTTTAAAATCTTATCTTGGTCTTAACAATTAATAAAAAATTTATAATTTATTTGGGTAATTTTATTAAAACATTATTTATTTTATTCCTGTCAAAATATTATTTTTAAATCTAACTAAAAAATTAAGATATGACATTTTTTTTCTACTTATACTTTTAGATTCAAAATTCAAAGGTTCTATCAGCAAGAGCACTAATAGAAATTTTTTTTCTGTTATGGGAAAGCTCACTTACGGTCTATTTTTATGTCATATCTTTTTTATAACACAATCACTGTTTTCCAATAAAACACTTGTGGAATTCGACTTGTGGATTATGGTATGCTTTTAATTCTATTCAGTGAAACTTTTTATACCTAATGCAATAATATTCATACAATAGTAGATAATATATTTATATTTTCTCAAATTCAATGTTAGTAAATAAAATGTTAGAGACTTGTTTGTGTATTTTTAGATCCGATCTTCAATAAGTGATGTTGTATTAGGATTGTTTTGCAGTTTACTAATAGTTTTGTTCGTCGAAACCCCTTGTATTACGATTAGACATAATTTAGACAATTATTTTCAGGTAAGTTTTATTTGAAATATTTAAAAAAAAGTCTAAGATCGTATATTAATTTAAAAATGTTTTACACACATTTTTTTCAGGGTGTAAAAAAACAAAACATTTCCACCTCGCAGGAAAACGATAACAAAATGAAAAAACAATAAGTATCAGGTTTAGGTGGTCAAGTACACTTTTTAGCGATGAGAAGGCACTAACAGTACACCATATTAACTCAAATGTATAATTATGAGACACTATCTGCTTTTTATGTCGGAATACTAATAAAATAAACTGTGTATTACAATTATGATAAGTTGCTTATAGGTACATTTTGCGTAAAGGGTTTCTTAAAAAAATATTTTAGTTGTACTTAATTTTTATTGTTGTGTTTAGGTAAGGTGTTTTATAATAACTAATGTTTAACAAAATTGCTATTTAAGTACTTGAATTTTATTATATTATTATACATTAATCATTATTATGATAGACATATACATCTTTTTTGTTCATAGTTTAGTTTTTCTCAAGTTGAACTATGTTCTTCTAACCTGTCTCTTTCTCTCTTTTATAATTTTAAACCTTGAGTTTTCATCAAGTTTTTACTTACTTTATGACACAGTGTACATTGTATACTGTTTTCAAAATTATTAAAATTAGTTCCACATTTTGATTCCGATTTTTTGAAAATTGTTTTGGGACTTGAAAATTAGTAAATTTCACACACAGTTTTCTCGAACATTGACCATGTTCGAGAACCATCATGACGGATAAGCGCGTAAATGATGGAAACACGACAGGGGCACAGTTTAGGCAATCCTAGAAACACCCATGAAGGTGTATGTGTGACTCGACCGCCGTCAGTACAACGCCTTCTGTATTTTGTATCAAATTGTTTTCTAAAATTATTAAAAAAAAAATAAAACTCTTCCATGCATATCTATAAATGGTAGAAATGTTAAATACCAATGAAGATCATAGTAAATTTAATAATACTGTTAAAATTGTGATTTCAGTATTAGATCTGATATATTACTATACTTTTGGGTTGATCGTCTGTCTGTAATAACAGACACATAAACAACATAAAAAAATGTATGTCTGTTACCTGTTGATCAAGTTCAGGAGGTCAACTACACTTTTTGGTATAGTGAAGATACAAACAGTACACCGTATAAACTCAAATGTTAAATTATTAAACACTATCTGCTTATTATATTGAAAATCTAACAAAATAAAATATGTAATTACAGTAATAATTAGTTAATTATAGATAAATTTTGGGTAAAGGTGTTTTATAATAACTAATATTTAACAAAATTTGTATTTAAGTATTGAAATTAATTCCATTATTATACATTAATCATTATCATAATAGACACTTACATCTTTTTTATTCATAGCTCTAGTTTTTTTCAAGTGAAATGAAGTTCTTCTAACCTGTCTCCATCTCTCTTCCATAATATCAAACCTTGAATTTTCTTCAAGTTTTTCTGAATTTATCACACAATGGAAATTGTATACTATTTTAAACAATAATTTTTCATAAACATTAACTACAGAATGTAAAAAAACGGAATATTTCTAAATCACAGGAAACGATAATAAAGTAGCAATAAAATAAATATCAATTTCCTTTAGTGAAGTACACTTTTTAGCAAAGAAAAAATATAAATGAGGGCAGAACACCGTAGTAATTTTAATAAATTAATATTTGACTGCCTGGTTTTTTCCCTGTCGGAGCACTCGCTGTAATGCAATATACTGTATTTGGTTTGGACTTACTGTTTTTAATTTTCTATCCAAATATTTGCATCGTATTTTAATTATAGATAACCTCTACGTGTCCTTAAGATAATTTATGAGTTTAAGAAAATTATTCGCTGTTATAAATAATAAGAAATTAAGTTCTGTTAGAGGTATTACCATTTAATAATGCCGTGTCAGCTCATTTAAACAATGAGCCAATCTATTTGGAAAATCCCACTAAATTAGCAATTATGTTCCCACGTGTTAATTATACATTCCTAATTAAATGTCTAAAAAAATTAAAAAAGGAATATGTACGATATTTTAATAATTTGACGGTCAGCGGATTTTTGTTTTTTTTTATAATAAAGTCTGGACTACTAGTTGGTTGGTTAAACTATAGTTTTTTTTTTAAATGTATTAGTCTGAAACTACTTTAGTACAATTTCAAAAACATACCAAGATAGATTTGCAAAGTACAATTTCAGAACCATACCATAATAGACTCGCAATAGATCAAAATCGTCAGTACTAAAATTTTTTTTATTTTACAGAGTGTCCTACAAAGAACTGACAAATGAAATAACTTTTGTTCTTGTGATTATTTTTAAGATTTGTTTTTTAAATTAATTTTTAACTCATTTTCACTATTAGCACTACGGTTTCTATTACTCTTAACCGTTTTTATTTTATTCAATTTAAGATGGTCGACAACTAATTTTGAATAATTATTAATAAAGGTTTACTGACTTGTACTCTTTAGTAAAAAGTGCACAATTTTGATATAACTTAACTAATGATAATAAAAATCAAATGTATATTACATAAAAATGAGTATATTGTTTCTCATTTTTGAAACATTTCTTATCATTTATGTTATATATAGACAAATATTATTAAGCGCAATATTATGTTGTGATTTTAACGCCCTACACACGTTTTCTCTTAAAATAGTTGATATTTTGTAGTTTTTCTAATTGGAACCCTGCCTGTTTGTGTTATATTATAATATTTATATTTGTGTCATTATTAGTATTTTATAAAACTTCACCATTTCTTGAAACATAATCGGTAATGTATATATTTAAATAATTTGCTGAAAATTTTAACAAATAAAATGAACCACTCTACCACCTGTCCTAAATCTAAACCTAACCAGTTTTGAATAAATGTTTTAAAAGTTATTTAAGTTCAACGTTTTGGGTGCAAAATTAAAAATGTACGTTCAATCTAAATTAGGCATCTTAGACTCAATCAATAGAATAAGATGTAAGATGTATTGCATACATTTAAATCTATATAAACAGTATTGTTTTATTACAGAAAATGCAGACCCATTTGATTTTGTTATTTGTCATATGCTTCAATACATTAAATCATAGTTTCCAACTACCATCTGATCATTCCGAAAAAATAAATGCATACACAACACCCTCCACATTGATCGACAAAAACTATGAGAATGAATTGGAAAAAAAACTTTTCAACATCAAAAACAATACCAATAGTACCATATGGATAGGTGATATGATTGCTATACATATGGACGGATTTGCACCGTTTTCTTATGACAATCCAAAGTGTACTGAGGATGGAAAACTGTACAGGAAACACTTGTTCAACCAAGATTTGTGGGCCTCTATAAATCTAGTTAGGTATTGTAACGATCACATTTCACCTGACCGTTACTTCGCGTCCCAAACCTACTGACACAGCACCCCCGACTATAGGTAGGGGTACGGTCGCACACACAGGACAATGCACGTCGCGTAGCATCTAATTACCCAGTTGACTTTACCATCCATCACGGACCGCCAATGGCCTCGACCTTGCGCACTATATTTTAGCCGTTTTACTACAAGCCGCCCATCCGACTATATTTTGTGTGCTTCCGTTTCATCTCCGCTTTGACCAACCATTTCATCGTCCAACCCAGGTCAGATTGCATATATTGTATAATTTTCTATTTTATTTAGCAACCATTAATTTAGAATAAAACATCTTGTAGCCTGCAGCTGACAGTTAGATTATTTAACAGTGTGACCGCCCGTTCTAGCTCCTCGGGCGGTATATTAAGTTAATAAGGAAGACTTTAAGGCCAACTAGACGTAGACAGCGGCCGAGCCAACCGTTTTCCCGTGGGGATCCGTCTATTTTAGCCTTATCGTCGGCCACTTTGCCTAGTCTAGCCAGCTAGACAAGTAGGTCCGTTGCAGTATTATAACCGTATTAACGAAACTTATACGTTTAGGTGTACAATTACACTTTAGAAAAAAACACGTGACCAACGTAACAATAACAAAGAACACTGCTACACTGCCATACATGTGAACACGAATTAACAAAGACACAAACTACGACCAAATCATGGCTGACTATAGACGTGGGCATCCAAAGCGCCCTGTACCGGCTGTAGCGCGGCGAAGATCATGAACCCCCTAGCGCATTAATTTTGAGCAAAATTGGAATTTTCAGACTTTTTCCTTTGTTAACACTATACAATACACCTTTATGCCAAATTTTACGTTTCTACCTATACGGGAAGTGTCTTATAATATTGATGATGAGTGAGCGAGTGTGTGAGTAACAATAATGCAAATTTTGAAATTCTCCCATTTTGAAAGGGCTGAATATAAAGGGCTCATATTTTTACAGTGTCAAAAAAGCTTATCTTAAAAAAAAAAACAGAGTAATGAGGGTTAGAAAAACTAGGTGAATTGGTTCGTGTAAAGATACACTGCCCTGCCGTGCGCTCAGTCTATTAAAAATGCGAGCATCTTAAAAAAAACGGCAAATGTACCACAATACTGAGTTTTCCGAAGGAATTGTTTGAAAATAAAAATGGCAAAGATGACTAAAAAAATGTATGTACTATGTAATTTATTATTTTCGTAAAACTTATTATATAACCGGGCAGCGATTTTTTTTTTTTTTAATTTAGGTGTATTAAATACAATTTGTCGCAATTGTGCTTCTTAACCAGAGCGAGACCGGAAACACAGGCAGCTAGTTTTAAAAAAGAACAATATTAATCAGATAACAAATTTTAACAATTTGAAGGTCAGTGGATTTTTGTTTTTTTATAATAAAGTCTTGACAACTGGTTCATTAGCAAAACTATAGTTATTTTTTAAGTGTATTAGTCTGAAGGTACTTTAGTAGAATTTCAGAAACATACCATGATAGACTTGCAATAGATTAAAATCGTAAGTACTAAAAATTATTTTATTTTACAGAGTGCCCTACAAAGACTTGACAAATGAAATAACTTTCGTTCTTGTGATTATTTTTAAGATTTGTTTTTTAAATTAATTTTTAACTCATTTTCACTATTAACACCACGGTTTCTATTACCTTTAACCGTTTTTGTTTTATTCAATTTAGATGGTCGACAACTAGTTTTGAATAATCACTAATAAAGTTATATTTAGATAGACAATAACGTGTATTGCATACATTTATTTCTATATGATCAGTAGTGTTTAATTACAGAAAATGCAGACCTGTTTGATTTTGTTATTTGTCATATGCTTCAATACATTAAATCATAGTTTCCAACTACCATCTGATCATTCCGAAAAAATAAATGCATACACAACACCGTCCACATTGAACGACAAAAACTATGAGAATGAATTGGGAAAAAAACTTTTCAACATCAAAAGCAATACCAA